TCTCTTGCGGCAGATTTGACTGGAATCGATGAGGCTTTCACCTCTCAAAGCCGAGGCCATTAGATTATAGTTACGCCGGTCGTGAGACCCTGTCCCGCTTATTGTGATCCCATTTAGCACGAGTCTGTATGAGCCTCGATATCCCAACCCCCTGGTACGCCGCCGTCGTTCCACATGGACGGTTCAATCCCTCGCTGTTCGACTCAGAATGGTATGTGATTGACGCAAGGAGATGCGCCGTGCGCTGCTGACCGTGAACGCAACGATGAACAGCACTTGCCTCCTTGTTCCCTGACTGTACGTCTCATCTCCTGGTTCGCCCACCGTCTACACATCATCTGCACAGTAGGCGTCCTGAGTATCAGAGACGGGCTGCCGCCGCCATGGTTCAGCTTGACGCCTCGGGCTTTGCGTCGTCGGCGTATTACTCAGTGTGCGCCGTGGATCATATCTCGTGCAGCGCTGGCGCTTTCGTCCGGTGGGCACTCGGGTTAACGAGCTGTTAAAGCATGCGCCTTGGTTGGCGCATGGACGCCAGTATAACCGTTCTGCACGGCACATATCCAGACGGACCGGCCACGTTTGCGCCCTACCCCAGAAGAACGCATCCTGCCTCGGGGGCCTGGAGGGAAGACGCCGCTGCGTAGCGTTCCGCGCGATCTGTGTATTTCCCCCGGCTTCCGTCTCGCATACGACGCGCGACCGAACCCGTCGGGAGGATAGCCAGGCGCGGTGGCACGCGCAGGGCTCGCTCGCAACCCGCTCTCAAGAGAGTTCGGGCCCGCAAGGGCGCCACCGTACTCGGGGCGCTGATGCCTCTTCGGTCGACATGCACGTACGCACGATCCAGCCTCTGGCCGCTTGCGCCGTGCGGACGTCTTGATTCCTACCCAGCAGACGGGGTTGTCGGCGCTCTTTGGGCGCGGGTCCTCCCCCGCACACCGCGTCGCCCTCGTGACTGGAGCAAATCGTGGACCTGGATTGGAGGGCGTGATCGCGCGCGGAGGGTCGCGATCACGCCGCTCGGCTGCAGGACAATCGCGGGGAGGTAGGGCTGGAGTCCGTCAGTGCAGACATCGATGACCAGGTGAGCCCGTGCCACTCTCGCGGCGCTCGAGCGGCCTGGCCCTGATCAATCGAGTGCTTGTAGGCGAAAATGTGGACGTTGGGCGAGATTATTGGAGGCAGAGAGGTCGCCTCGACGGGTATATTGACAGCACCGCTACTGTCGGCGACGATGCTAGAGGGATTGACGGCTTCAAAGGGGTTTTTTGTGCGGTACGCCAGACTTCACATCTCCACGGCTCACATTGACCTCGCCCGCTAGGTGATCAATGCCAACCTATGCGGCGCTACATGCACAGTGCGGGCTGCCGCGCAGCAGATGGCACGGTTCATGAACAATGGGGCAGCAACATCCTCGCTCCGAGGGCCATCCGCGTAGGCGCACCATGGCAGTGTGCAAGGAGGTGCCAGTGTTGAATGGCTCACGTTCAGTCGACGTATCCAGGCCCTGTCCGATCGCTCCAGTATGCAAGCAACCCTCCGACGCGACGAAGGCGGACGTGCTCCAGCGTACCACCCACGGAGTGGGAGTGAACTGCATCAATCCAGGCTGCCCAAGAACCATGTGCGCCCGGCGTTCTCTTCGCATCTTGCAGCGTTCTGTCTAACAAGCGCTCTGCATATGTCCTGCAGCATGTGCCTGTCGATGTACAAAGCGGTCCAGGGTCGCTTGGAGAGGCTCGAGGAATCAGAGGCAAACCCTACGGGGCGCAGCGCGATGTGCGTGGCGTGCCCTCTTGGCTTGCGAGCGACGCGAGCTCGTTCTGCACTGGGATCGGGTACGCTGTCTGTTGTCTCTGAGCAACTGGTACGCCGGGTATCATCGTGGACAGCGGGCATCGGGCATGGTAAAGCCGATCCGTGAGGTCGTCGCTGTCCGAGGATATGTACTTCCTTTCAACGTATGACGAATTCGAGAGCATGTTGTACACAAGGTTATGTCCCTACCCCCGTTCCTCGCCATATGTTTAGCTCGCCTCTAATGCTCGCTGATAAGCGGCAGTCATGGGGCGATGGTGGTTAGGAGGTCGTATCTCCGACGGCGTCCCCACAGGTCCCTGTGACCCGGTGCCGTCGAGAGGTACGGCGGCTGGAAGGAGGCATGGTGTACCGAATGGGTCAGACGACAGGCAACCAGGTTCCCGCAGTACCTTGGCCCGAGAGCGGGAAGGCCAGAGTGCGATCGGGGTTGGTGCTGACGAGCTGCGAGCGGTGAATGTTTGGTTGACCTTCACAGTCGCGTCCGACGCTACGAGCCGCACCGCGACGTCCGGTGACCACCCTGCAGCCACTAGCGCCGGGATCCCCGCACGGGCTAAGACACGGCTTCGGGGGCGTAGAACGGTTACGAGAGAGGCGTTTGCGCACCGCTGCAGCCCGCGCCCAGCTGCCGCCACGCCTCCATCGTAAGCCCATAATCGCTGTGAGACAATGATGTAACGGACGTTCAGACGACCCCGGCCGCTGCATCCACCACCCAAACCGCCGCACTCGTGACGGGCCACGGCCGTCCATGACCTCCTAACCATCGCTTACCCACCCGCCTGCGCAGACGGGAGGCCCGCCGCCCCGCCGTGCACGAGCACCGCTGCGGGTATATAAACCGACGCGAAGCACCCCGAGGACTTCGTGCCCCACCTCGCCGCTCGGCCTGCCCACTCTTCTCGCATTTCTTCCCCACCGACTCTCGTCCTTTTCAGGCCCGACCATGTTCTCGCGCACGCTCGCGTCCCGCACCGCACCCGCTGCCGCCGCCACCGCCAGGGCGAGCCTCGGCCGCAACCACTTCTCGACGAGCCGCGCGGTGCGCACTGCCGTGTACGACAAGGAGCGCGCGGCCGGGCCGCACCCGCCGTACGGCCCGGTCGGCGTCGCCGCGGCGCTCCAGTCTCCCCCAAAGTCGCGTACGTCCCCTCCACCGATTGCGAGGCTAGACGGGTGCTGACTGACGTGTGTGGTTTGCGCAGGGGTGACGCCCACGATCTTCACGGACGAGTTCTCGCTCGCGGACCGCGTCGCGCTCGTCACGGGCGCGAACCGTGGGATCGGGCTTGAGATGGCGCTCGCGGTCGCCGAGGCGGGCGCGCGTGTCGTCTACTGCCTCGATCTCCCGAAGGAGTCCGGGGAGGAGTTCGCGAAGGTGCAGGAGTACCTCGGCAGGATGGAGGGACTCAAGCAGAAGCCCCGCCTCGAGTACATCAGCGCGGACGTGACCGACCAGGTACGTTCGTTCGACCGGGGTGGGAGACGGGATCGGTGCGCTGACGGACGGAGCGCCGTGTAGGAGGCCATCTGGAAGATTGGCGAGACGATTGGGAGCAGGGAGGGTCGTCTGGACCTCGGCGTCGCTGCCGCAGGCATCCTCAAGGGCGACACGCCCTGTCTCACGTACCCCGCGAAGCAGTTCAGAGACGTGAGCGCCTTCGCGGTCGTGAAGCATCCCGTGCCGGTCCTGACGCGGTCGTCCCCTAGGTCCATGCGGTGAACGTCGATGGTGTGCTGTTCACCGCGCAGGCTGCTGGGCAGCAGATGGCCAAGTTCGGCAAGGGAGGCAGTATCATCCTGATCGGCAGTATCAGCGGTCACGGCGCGAACCCGGTATGTTGCTCGATTCCTTACCACAGGTGAGGAGCAACAGCTCACATGCTTGTGTGCGTACAGGGCCACCCTTGGGTGTCGTACAACACGTCAAAGGCCGCTGTGCTCCAGATGGCCCGGAGCATGGCATGCGAGCTCGCCCCTCAGAAGATCCGTGTTAACACGATCAGCCCCGGCTACGTCAACACCAGGTAGGGCGGCACAAACGAGATCAAGATGGGTAGTGTACTGATGTAGATGCCCTGCAGCATGACCGGGCAGTTCCTTGCGAAGAACCCGCAGCTGTTGGACCGGTGGTCGAGCAACAACCCGATGGGCCGCATCGCCAGGCCCGACGAGCTGCGCGGGGCGACGGTGTGGCTTGCGAGCGACGCGAGCTCGTACTGCACAGGTAGCGAGTGCGTGTCCCTCTTCCTGACCTTCGTTCATGCGGTTACTGATACGATCCTATGTCTAGCTTTCTCGTCAGCGGCGGACACCAGGCGTGGTGATGTGGCGACGTACCATTTTGTACCCTACTGCACATTATCCTTTTGTCTTAGTATCATCGAGAAAACATGTGACACTGGCCCGTAACGATACCGGCGTGAAAGGCTGCGGCCCCACGTCGATGCACTTGTACCATCAGGGCTCTTCGTCTGTGTCCAGCCGGCCCTTGATGTCGTCGACGACATGTCCCACGTACATATCCCTTCATCTGAGCGCCAGGACGAGAGCGATAGAGACGACATCGCAGCTGTTCGGCAGTCGGGAGACGTAGACACTGTAGTCCGCAATGTCTTGCTGGGCGATGTCTGCCGGAGCTAGGACCATTTGGTGGATGTAGTCTCCAAAATGGCGGCGACAGTACCATCCGGTGCACGTCCATGTCGGGTACCGCACGTGCGAGAGCCAGGCTGACAGCGGGGAGCTGGTGTAAGCGTCCTGCTTCAGAGATGGGCGGGTCAGAACTTGACTCACTGACCCCTTGACTTGGGTCCGGGAGTCAGACCAGGGGTCCGACCGAGGGTCCCAAAACGTCAAGGGTCAGCACGTGATCATTTCACGTGATTGTAAAACCCAATGTCGTCATCACCGATGTCTGCCGGGTTTCCTCGTATTTTCTACGCATCATACGCGGCGGAGGACTGGTGGGTCCAGGTCTGATTGTAGTCACGCCTTGACTCAGACCCAAGGTCAGACCTTTTGAGGTCGGACCCAACTGTCCGGGGGTCTGACCATGGGTCTGACCAAAGTCGGCACATCCCTGTCCTGCTTACCGAGTGCACGCAAGATGCTATGAGGTTCATGGCGGTCGTAGTCAAAGGTGCACGTGGGAGGAGGATGGGAATAAAAAAGGGCCTAACTGGGAATTGAACCCAGGACCACTCGCAATCAGTGAACACCCAAAGCGAGTATCATACTTCTAGACCATTAGGCCTTGAACGGGGTCCGTTTTGGAGTGACATATCCAGGCAAGAGGGATGGCAGGGAAAGTCCCTTGACTTGAGGCTACTGACTCGGACACCTCGCAGACTGAGACTGCAGTGCCAGGCATGCGCGAGAGTCATCGGTGAGCACCTGTGAATGGTAGTGTGGACTTGAGAGCGAGCACGGAAGACGATGGTCGTTGTGCGGAAAGCGACCGAGTGCCCTTGGGTAGCGCTCGACGCCTCCTCCACACCACCACCCAGCTACACATGCCGCCCAAGCACTTTCTCACCAGCAACTTCCGAGTCGCATTCGAGGAGTACTTCGACTCACAGCAGCAACGTAGCGCTGTCGACACCCTCCGCGCGCACATCGCGGAGGTCCGGGAGGGCTCCGAGCAGCAGCGGCGCACGCTCGGCGTGCTCAAGACGCAGGACACGACCGCAGAGCAGGTCGCGCAGCGCGTCGCGGCCTACCTCGACAAGTGCTACTGGCAGCTCGCGCAGTTCTACCGGGTGAGTGAGCGCCGTCGGGTACAGGCCTCCCACGCACCGTCCTGTCCCCAACCCCGCGCGCGCGCACGGGCGGCCGAGCGTGGTGTTGACTCGCGCACCTTCTCCAGTACTCGTCGCCGTGCCGGATCGAGGAGGCGGAGCCGTACCTGCGCGAGGTCGTGCGGTACGCGAAGGTCAAGGGCGGGAAGCGGGACGTCGCGCCCGAGCTCTACCTCGCCGTTGCGATCCACAAGGAGCCCGCGCGGGAGCAGGAGGCGCTGTCGCTCTTCGCGGATGCGTTTGGCGACGTCGAGGAGAATGGCGCGCCTGTGCCCGGCCCGCGCTCGGAGCTGTGGGCGCGCGCGAGCTGGGCGCGACTGCTGAGGCGTGTGCAGCGTGTGCAAGATGCGCAGGTGCAGGAACAGGCTATTGTGTGCGTGGTCGTCTGCTTTGGGTGCGTTCGGACATTTACACCTGTGCCATCAGCGATTGGATCGTTGGCCACCCTGAAGTCCTTCCGCCACCAAAGCTCAAGGCACTGGTAAGCGACGAGACAGACAGCGGAGTGCTGAACAACATCCTGGACCACCCGCAAGTGCTCGCCGCGTTCGAAAAAGCCCGCGAGAAGAGACAGCGCATCTGAACGCTCGAAGAACATACCCATGGCCTCCTAGCGTTATTCAAGGGGAGCGATATACATTTGCCACATTACCACATGTGTAAGGGAGTAGGCAGCTAACAACACCGGCCAACCCACCGATCGAATTCCTACAAGCCAGAGAGAGCGACAATGACAACATACATACATCCTGGGTGTGCTGATCTAGATATAATTCTATACGCTCATCTTCATCGCGATGCTCGGGTGTGGGTCGTACCCCTCGACCACGAAGTCCTCGCTCCGGAAGTCATCGATGCTCACCACCTTGCGCGGCCACCTGATCTTCGGAAACGGGCGCGGCTCGCGCTCGAGCTGGGTCTTGAGCGCGTCGACGTGGTCGCGGTAGACGTGCGCGTCCCCGAGCTGGATGATGAGCTCGTGCGGGTCGGTGTCGGTGACGTGGGCGACCATGTGGGTGAGGAGCGCGTAGGACGCGATGTTGAAGGGGATACCGAGCCCGAGGTCGGCGGAGCGCTGGTACATGAGGCAGGACAGCTTGGGCTTCGCGGACGGCTCGTCGGCGGGAGGGAGGTGGACGTAGAATTGGCACATCATGTGGCATGGGGGGAGGGCCATCTGAGGGATGTCTGCATGTCGTGTGTGAGCGAGGGGGGGTGCGAGAGGAGAGGGAAGCGTACCTGCAGGATTCCATGCGCTCAGGATGATGCGCCGGTCGGTAGGGTTGTGCTTGATCTTGTCGATGCACTCTTGCAGCTGATCGACACCTTTGCCCTTGTAGTCTGCGTCGCAGTCTTCGTACTGCGCGCCAAAGTACCTCCACTGGAAACCATACACGGGGCCGAGGTCGCCCTCGCGCCTATGGGCGAGACCGCGTTTGGCGAGGAACTCCTTCGAGCCGTTCCCATCCCAGATTTTGATTCCCTTTGCGGAGAGCTCCTTTGAGTCTGTACAGCCGCGTATGAACCAGAGAAGCTCTTCTGTGATACCGCGTAGGAATGTGCGTTTTGTGGTGAGGAGGGGGAGTGTGTCGTCTGCGAGGGAGAAGCGGAGGTTCTGAGGCGCAAAGACGGAGATTGTGCCCGTGCCCGTGCGATCAGGACGGGTCGCACCGGTGTCGAGGACGGTGCGGATGAGGTCGAGGTACTGCTGTTCGTCGTGTGGACCGGTTGAGGACTGGGGCTGGGGAGGGACGGCCATTGCGGTGGTGGCAGGGAGAAGGGCGCGTTATTTGGCGCTGTTGACGCGTCCGGCTTGAGTGTTCTGCACGGTCACGTGGGGTTACGCGTGGTTCGCTTCCTGGGCCACGCCTCTTCCTCCATCTCTCCTTCATCACCGGCTCCCGTGTCTGCCACCGCCGCTTTCTATACCACTGGGCTATCCTCCTTGGCTGCGTCTACTCAACGACATGCTTCCCTCAAACAAGACACGCACCACCACCACTCGGTCCACTCGGGCCGCATCATCCACAAAGTCCGCGAAAGCGGCGGCCAATGTTTCGCCAGACGACCTCGCAGACAAGCTAGCCTCGAAACTCAACATATCCGATCCCAAGGGGAAGGCACGGGCGACGGAGGTTTCGTCTGCGCAGCGCAAGGCCGATGCTATGCGCGCCGTCAATTCGGCGTCCAAGGGCCTGTCTGCCATCGTCGAGTCTGGCTGGAAGGCCACAGAGGCCAAGTCCGACAGGACTACCGCGACAGCTGCTGTAAAGCATGCTACCACCGCCCGGAAGGAGCTGGGTGTACTCCGTGAGCTGAGTACTGGAGAAGTCGACGTCGAGCGCGCCGCGTCCAGTGTCGTAGGCAAGCTCGTCAGTCTCGAGATGGTGCGTGCTCCTCTGCTCTGCAGTGTGTCGGATGTTGACGCCAATTTTAGTGTCAAGCCGCGTCTGGAGTACTGCAAGACATGCGTGCTCCTCTCGTTGGTCTGTACCACCCGGACGCACCCCCCCTCGCGCCGTCTCCTCCTTTACACGACTTGCTCTCTCTTCCGCTGCATGACGGCCCTATCCAAGAGCTCCATCTATATCTCATCTCAAGCTACCTCTTGCACGCGCTTACTGTGACATTACATACTACGACCGATCTCCCTGTCCTCTTGGCTATCCTGCACGACTCAGCGTACTCAACGCTATTGACCTGGACAACTGCGCTTGCTCAGCTACCGGACAAGCAGTACGACAACATCCTGACGCGAGCGTACTCTATCACTTCTCGTTTTGCTGCACGCCCTGCTGTCGCTCCTCGCCCCTCATACTCGCTACGGATATACTCGCTCTTATGTCTTGCACACACTCGTCCGTCTGTCATTGCGCCTAACACTTTCTGGGAGCAGGCGTTAAAGTATACTGCTACCTTTGCAAAGACGGACGTGGACCCCATGGAAGGAGCACAGACCGTCTTGGATGGATCTGCGCGTCTGGTTGCTTTTGTCCAGAAGAGGGACGACCGAGCAGAGTTCATGTCGGGCATTGCGTTCGCACGGTTCTGCGAGTACTGGGGGAGATTTGCGAAGCAGGTGCGTCCTGCTCTGTATATACGCTCCGCGTGCAAGCTGACATTGACCATCCAGGCCGGAGATTTGCGTACCCTTGAACGAATCACCAGGCTCACTCAAGGCACTGGCAGTGAACCCCAGTCGGGGAAGGAACGCGCAGTAATCGAGACGTCTGCGCTGTGTACCATTCTCGCCAAGGCGCTGGCTGTGTTCGAAGCGTGGCAGGGTACGTCTGCGTGTTGCGTCGCGTTCCTCTCATGGTGCTAAAAAAACGCACTAGATCATGCGACGGACATCGTGTCGAAGTTGCAGGATGCATCCAGCGCGCTCGGACGATGCGGACTCTCATTGTCAGAGACTGGTGACGACCACGATCGCGTGAAGCGGGGCGTGGAGAGACTGCGGCGCGCTGTCGTGAAGATTGTGGAGGCGCCCTCGTCCGGCGAGTCGAACCACCCCGCGGAGGTACGGGCCTGCGCTCGGGCGATTTTGGAGCAAATTGTCGACGTACTGTGCGAGCAGGTTTGTACCGTTTACATGCGCGCACAATCACAGCCACTCATCCGTTGCATAGCGAGAGCTCTACACATCGAACATCGTCACCGGCGGCGCTGAGAGCCTCTTTGCGCTTGCGAGGACGGCGTTCGTTCTCAACAACCCCGACACGTACGCCCTTGCCCGTACATACCTCGCGCGTGCAGCCGCGCTAGTCTCGAACGCGTGCGCGCAAGCGGCCGCAGCTACGGAGGCGTCGACGACTCCCCTCTCCGGTACACAGCTGGCGAATTACACGCGCTGCGTCGCGGGCGCGTACTACAACTTCGCGGTCCAGCTCCACCAGAGCGGCCGAATCTCACATGCGGTGCCCTTCCTTGACGAGACGTGCAAGCTATCGGAGCGCGCTCTCGCCGACTATCGTGCGGCTTTGCGCGTTGGAGGCGGAGCTGAAGAGGACGACGGAAAGAAAGAAGTTTGGAAACAGCTGGAGGAGCAGGCGTACAGGCGATGGGAGCTCCTTGGGGTGTGCCACGCGAAGACGGGGGATCGACAAGTGAGCACCTCCCAGCAACCTCCTAGGACTTGCATTGACACGTTCCACAGTTGGCATTCGAAGCGTTCACGAAAAGCATCGCTGCGTTCCCGTTCGCGCGTCATGCCGTGGCCGAGCTCGCGGCCAAGACGCCGCCGGCTACGCTCCTCGACGCGTCGCAGCCGCTCAAGCACCTCGCCGCACTCGTCGACCGTGTCACGTACATGGCCGCGTGCGAGCTCTTCCACGCGCCCGAGGCCATCCCCGTCGCCGCCTGGCCCGCCTTCGCCGCGGGCGCGGAGGACGAGCAAGCGCAGGCGGCGGTCGCGGGCGTGCTGATGGAGCGGCAGCTGTGCAGCCTGGAGGAG